CTGGCTCCAGCCTTCTGAGAGCAGAGGCTCCTGCAGCAATAGGGACTGAAAAGTCAGACACCAGCAGGGCTTCCCCAATGGACAGAATGAATGTTCTATGGAGCTGGGGTGGGGTGACCCACCATGAGAAGTCTGACCCGCTCCAGTGATCCCCAAAGTAGAACTCGGGAAGGGGAGAGCAAAGGGGTGTAAGGGAGAGGGAAAAGGCTAGAAAGCAGGATGGTCTCTTCTCTCAGGCTTTCTTACAAGGACCAAACAGAAGGTCTGGGGCTGAAAAACAGCAGCACGAAACCGGAGTTTGGGTCACACGCCGAGACTTTCCCATCACAAGGCCGGGTTCTTGGAGCGACGGTCCCCATGGATTGGGGTGAGGAAGCGTATTATCGAAAGTCCTCATCTGGGAGGCAGAAGGCCTGGGTTCCTCACACAGTTCCACCCTGACCACCACGTGTGACCTTCGCTAAGGATCTGCCCCTCTCTGTGCCTGGACACAGCCCCGGCCCATCACAGGGCTGGACAGAAGGCTCTCTGTGCGCCCGTAGGAAGGAGCAAAGACCAGCCAAGTTCTAGGAAGCCAGCCACCCTGCCACGCAGTCTGAGGTGGATGCATACACAGACCCGCAAGGTGAGGATAGCCACGCCCACCTCAGCCCTGCTGAAGGAGCAGGAAGTGGTTGGTTGAGAGCCCTTAGCTCGGTGCTCCGCACCCCATCAGAGATTGCAGCTCAAACTTCAAGGGCCAACCCAGGTGGCTTCGGGCAACCCTGTGGTGTGGACAGGTGAAGGCAACACACCCGAGGAATGGGCCCACGCTGCTCTGTCCTAAAAGTCGACGCTAGGGCCACAGACCCAAGTATGTGTGTGTGCAGTCCGTGAAAACGTAGGAGCAGCCGTGCATTAGATTTCTGGGTGTTCGTGAGTGATATTCACGGATATGCGTGTCCACGTGATGGTGCATGAGACAGATGGACGGGTATGCTGGAGAGATATGTGCGCGTGCCAACGCTTTGCATGGCAAAAGCGTGACTGCATTGGGTGGGCTGGGCAGTTTCCACTCAATTCCACAAAATCCTGCCACTACCGGCCTCCTGTCACTGGGTGCTGGGGACAGAAGGACGGATGACCCAGGAGTGCTGCTCCTGAGGAGCCTGGAGGTGGGGTGCTGCTGAAGCTGAGGTGCAGGAGAAAGACGGCTCCCGGTCAGCCCCAGCTCTGTGCCGGCCTCCGTCAAGTGCCCTGGGAGACTTCTCCCGAGCCTCAGTTTCCTCACCTGCAAATGGGGAGGGTGACCGCACCCGCCTCAGCCCTGCGGAAGGATGGAAGGACGGAAGGACACGTACGAGGTCTACAGAGAGCACTCAGCACGGTGCCCGGCACAGGGCCCACGCTCCACGCACCATCAGAGACTACGGGCCAAACTTCAAGAGCCAACCCAGGAGGCGGCAGGGAGAGGGCAGGTCCCGGACGGGGAGTAAGGAGTTTTGGGGTCTGGTCCTGTAACTGCCACTACTTTACTGTGATCTCCAGAGCCTCAGTTTTCTCTGGCAAAACGGGGCTGTCACCCGTGAGGGCCCACCTGGCGGGGATGCCTGCGGGCGGTGGGTTCCTTGGCTGGGATTATTTCCAACCCAGGTGATGGGCCTCTGCCATGGTCCAGGGGAGCTTCGGTGGGCCGGGATTAGGAGCCTGAGGGCCCACAAGCAGCCACCACCTCCTCTCCTCCCCATTCCCACAGCTTTTGACCCCAGGGACAAGGCTGCCGGAGGATGTTTACAGAGCGTAAACCTTCACATAGAGAAAGGCTGCTGGGCCGCTGGGGGCTGGGAGCAGCCGAGTCTCACAGGGGCTCAAGGAAGACAGGGCGCGGGGGGCTGTGCTCCATCCCAGCCCCTGTCAGCCTCTGACTCCCAAAGGGAAGCCAGGCTGGCCCCTGACAGGGTGCAGCAAGGTGATGGCGTGGAAAGCATCGTGGGCAGTGATGTGCTATGGCTCAGAATTCAGAGAGAAAGAGGGCCTGGGAAGGGCTGAGGGCTTACATCAGGGGCCAGGGGCACAGGGAGGAGGCAGGTGACAAGACGAAGGGCCTGCCGAGAGGAGGAAGAGCTCGGAGCGGGGCCAGCAATCCCTCATTCTAGACCTCACTACGGAGGAGACGGGAGTCAGTGGTTCCCACTTCCCAGAGCCGCAGCTGCTGGGAGGAGAGGTGGACTCGGGACTTATCCCCTGGGCAATCTCCCACGCCTCGGTGCCAGAAAAGCTGCAGGTCTGTGGGGGCCCCGTGGGGCCTGGCTAGCAGGTGTGAGGGAGGTGTCTCCTGGGGTGAATGGACCCAGCTCATCCCTCCTTCCTCCGCCCTTCTCTTCCAGGCTTTTCTGTTGGGCCCCTCCTACCAGGGCCAGAGGCTCTGGAAGGGGGTCAGCTAACTGTGCTCACTGGACTCCCCTCACTTGGGCTGCCTCTGAGGGTCCCTAGGGAAGGGGGGAGGATTTGAGCAAAAGTGCCCCTGTAGGACTAAAGTCCAACAGCAGGAAGCACTTCCTGGCTCACCCAAGACCCAGCCATGAGCGACCGAGAAACCCCACCTCTGAAGCTCCTGAAGAACACCCATCCCTCGGGCTCCAACAGGCCCTTGCAGCTCACCCGGCCCTTTCCCACCCATTCCCGCGTCCCAGAGGGAGGCCAAAGGCTGGGGTTGCTACCTGCTTTGATGGTCTAGAGTTCTAAAGCTCAGAGAGGCCCAGTGATCAACCCAAGATCACACAGCACACAAGAAGAGGTGGGGCTCCTGATCCCCCAACGCCCTTGATCTCTAAGACGAGTGACCAATCCCCTGAGATCTCGGCGCCTTTGCTCCCCCAGAACTCCTAAGAGATGCCTCAGCTCTGGGCTCCTGGAGACAAGTGATCAGGACAAGCATGCCCCTGGCCAGGGCATTCCTGGCATCCAGTAAGGCAGGATGTGGGGCAAAGGTACCAGCGGATTTAGCTCCTAGAGAGGAAGCAGAGGCCCTTCCAGCGGAGGTGAAGACCGCGGCTGGCTGGGGGACGTGAGGCGGTTCCTCCGCCTTCAGTGATCCTTGTGAGGGCTGAGAGACAAGGCCTGGAGACTAAGGACCCCCCCTCGATCCCTGTGGGATTCCCAAGAGGATCCCACGGAGGGCGCAGCTGCTCCCCGTGGAGTATCCCACCTTGCTTGGGCATCCCAGGCTGCAGTGTGGGCAAGGGCACCAGAAAGCAGCAGCCCCTGCCCCTCACCCCCAACCCCACCGTCTCTCGTATGCGTATGCCAGCAAGGAACCTCCATCACTCCCACGGCTCTCTCAGCAGCAAAGATCTTCATCCTAGGCCCTCGGTGGGCGTTGGGGGTCAGGCTAGTCCTAACCGTGACCCTGACCCCGAGACTAACCTCAGGTCCTCCGCAGCCTTCACTCTCCGCCCCTGGCCGAGCCTAGCAGGGGTCGCTGCATGAAGCCAAGGCTGCCACCCCAGGAGCCTATTGGCTGAGGGTTAGCTTCCTCTATCCTCCCTGTGGACAGGGCCTCCTTTGCCAGCATTTCTCCCCTCCACCTTTGAAATTCTGTGAGCCCAGTTCGGACTGGGCAGAGGCAACAAGCAGAGACAGGAAGGCAGACAGAGCAAAAGATGATGGGAACGGACAAGCAGAAGAAGGAGATAATCCGGTGGACACTCAGATATAGACAGATGGGCAGACAGGCACACAGGTAACTGGACAGGTCAGCAGAGGGAGGGACACCGGCAAGGAGAAGGAAGGCCGCACAATTAGGGGGAGAGACAAATGGACAGGCCGATTTGCACACAGGTGGAAACTCCGTCTGGCAGAGGGACAGCCAGGCAGGCAGCACTGTCAGAAGCACGGAAGTCAGGCAAGGAGACCACTCAGGAGACCCCCAAGACCAACAGGTCCTCTCTGGGGGCAGGAAGGAGGGATTAACAGCAGCACATTTTCCAGGAACCGGAGGTCTCTCTCGGCACCTCCCAGCGTCCCAGAGCCAGGCCTGGCCCTTCAACTGATATCGGTGGGGCCTCTCATGTTCCCGGCCAGACAGGCCGTCCCCCAAGACTGCGCTCTGAGCTGCCAAAATTCACTCTTTATATCCAAGAGGGGTCAGTGTTTTTGAGAGTTGTAGGAGCTGGTGAAGGGGGGCGGGGGGGGGGGGAGGAGGGAGGCACAGCGTCAGTGTTTCCAAACCTACCCCTCTCCTCTTTCTTTTTCCCCTGGGGTGCCCAGAGCCAGGCCTGGTGCAGCGGCCAGGGAGCCGGGCAGGCTGGCCAGCCAGGCCGCAGGCAGACAGGGCAGCCTGCCGCTGCCGCTGCCGCTGTTGCTGCTGCTGGAAAGTTGAGGGTGCGGGGGAGACTGAGTGAAGACTCAGATAAGTCAGACAGCACACATGAGTGTCAAGACTGGGGGACTCACCGGGACCCCCAAACACCTATAATCGGGAGCCTGCCCTGGGATAGGGTGGTCAGCTTCCCCGGGGAGGGGTATTTCCCAGCGGAGCCCAGGTGGGAGTCCGCTGTCGGGACAGAGCTGGGGAGACGCTGACAGACAGCGTGTGGGGGCCCAAGGGCCCTCTTTGTGTCCGGGACGCGGGGACAGCGGTGAGGACGGGGAAAGGGGAGCCCCACTGTAGTGGCTCCAGATTGCAGAGAGGATGACGGACAAGACACTGCGTGTGGGAGCACCTGGGACCGAGGAGCAGGGGGTGGAGGTCAAGAGGGAACTAAGGAGTTGCCGTGGGAGAGGTCAGAAGCGAGTTGAAGTTGGGATCAAGGCTTGGGGGCTGGGGGTTAGGGTCAGGCTGGGGGGAAATCAGCCATGGAGCTCAGGCCTGGGGGACGGGGTGAACAGGAGGGTCGGCCGTGGGGGCTGGGGACAGAAGGCGGAGCCAGGGTCCGGCGGCGGCGGATCCGGGGGAGTTCAGGCTCCCGGGTGGAGCGGGAGCGCGGGGCGAGGCAGGGGGCACGGATCGGCAAACTCACATGAAGACGTGGTAGACGAAGGCCCAGCCGCGGGGTCGCTCCAGCACGTTGTAGACCCAGTTCTGCAGGCGGCGGTAGCGCTTCTGGGAGGCCGAGGAGCGCTGGCCGCAGGCGGAGCCCGAGCCGGAGCCCGGCCCCGGGAGGGGCGCCCCCGGAGGCAGGGGGCTGCCCAGGAGGCCCAGGCGGCGCGGGGAGCCGCCCCCGCCCGCCTCGCCCTGCTCGCTCTGCACGGCCGTGAGAGCCACCAGCTCGGCGCGGGGGGCGTCCCCGGGCGGGGGGGCCAGGCCGAGGCGGCGCGGGGGGGCCTCGGCCATGGGAGGCGCCGGACGGGGGGCCGGGGCCGGGGCCGGTCAGGGCGGGGGCGCGCGCGGCGGCGCTTAGCGGCACATGGCTCGGACCCGAGGCCGGCGCGGCGGCCCGGGGAGGGCGCAGGCAGCGGGGGGCTAGGGTCCGGGCAGGGGCCTCGCCGGGGCCGGGGGCGGGCGCTCGGAGGCTGGGGGCCGCCGGAACCCGCGCTGACCGCCCGCTTCCCCGGCGACTGGGGCGGCTCTTTCCGACTCCAACTCTCTTATTACGCGCTCCATGCCGCTCGCCTTTCCACCTGCCCGGGCGCGCTGCTCACATGTCACCCTCGCCGCCCCGCCCCTCCCCCGCCGCCCCCGCCCGCCCCGCGGCCGCCTTCCCAAATCGGGAGGGAGCGAGCGCGCCGGCCCGCGGGGCGGAGGGAGGGGACGCGCGGCGGAGGCCGGAGGCCGCGGGCCGGGGCGCAGCGGCCGCGGGGCCGCCGGGGCGATGCCTGGACCCGGCCGCGTGGCGGCGGCCCCGGGGGCAGCGCGCGGGGCCGCGAGGCCGGCCTGGGGCCGGGGGCGTGCGCGGCGGCGAGGGCCCGCGTGGACCCGGAGGCCGGGCTGAGCGCCCCCGGGGTGACCGCGGGCAGCGGAGCGGGCGGGGAGCGTGGAGTGCGGCCGCGGCCGCGGGTGGCACACGTGCCGAGCGGAGTTTGGGTGTGAGCAGGCACAGAAGTGTTCGCTGTCGGTGCGGAGTGGGTGGCTGTGGGTCTGCCAGGTGGTGGAACTGAGTGGGTTGGAGGCGTGGGCGGTGGGTCCGGTGCAGATGGGTGTGCAGATGATGGGTGTGCAGAGTCCGGCCGCCTGGGCGTGGGCGGTGTGAGCCGTTAGCTGTGTCCCCCCGGGCTGTGCCCTTCACGCCCTGGGCGCGGTGTGGAAAGTGTGCGCTGAGCGTGTGGCTCAGTGAGCAGCTCCAACCCGCAAGGTCCGATGCCCAAGCGCTGCCGGCTCAGTGTGTGCGGCCCAGTGGGGCTCCGTTCCCCTCCCACCCACCTCCCCCTCCTTCTTCAGGATGGGAAGCGCCCCAGGCAGGCCACCCAGCCCGAGGAAGGGTCTCCTCTGATGCAGGCTCAGTCTGAACAGCTTAGTTGACTGGACCACAGGTCAGGACTCAGGGATGCTAGCAGGGGAACTCTGAGCCAGCCCCCGAGAGGTCCACAGACCCATCCAGAAACTGGGAGTCTGTCCACCACCCACGGCCTCTCTGGCGGCAAGTTCTTGGTGCCCGGCCTCCTCTCTCTGGCTGGTGATGGGGGGCGGCCCTTTCATTCTTGTCCCCCCTCGCCCAGCACAGAGCGGTGATTTGGGTTTCCTCTCCTCCAGCCCTCTTTCCCCTGCCGAAAGCTGGGGCCACACCGGCCGCTCCCTCCCTCCCTCCGCAGGCCCTGCCCCAGGGTGAAGCTCCTCCGCAGCACACTCTTCCCGTTCCTCCGGAGGATCCCGGGGGACAGAGCAGCCCGCGGGAGGGGCAGGAGAGGGGGCGGGAAGGCGAGCTCGATTCTCAGCTGTCAGCAAAGGCGGCATTGATCTGCTGAGCGCCAGTGGGGGAGGGAGGCCAGCAGAGCTGTCAGCGCTCAGAGAGGGGGCCTCAGGGACCGAGGGGTCCCCAAGCTGGGCTTGTCAACCTGTGCACACCCCTTCACCCTTTCCCTCTGCATAGCAGGGCGTGCCTTCTGGGGTCTGATCTGAATCTCTCCCGGGGTTCCAGGGACATCAAGGGCCAGAGTCCCGAGCTTTCATTGTTGGGGGGGGGGGGGGAGGGACGAGAGGAGGGGACGGTGGGTGGGGTGCCTCGCTGGCTAACCCATCCTCTCCCTATGAGCTGAAGCTAGCTAGCATCCCTGAATGTACGACACTGCTCTCCCTGAATCTGGGCCTCATCACACAGGGTTCATGGCAGTGGGACTAGGGTCTGGGGACCTGAATGGTGGAAAGGAAAATAGTTGCAAGGAATCTGGGGGTGTCTCAGGTCTTTTTTCTTTTTCTTTTTTTTTAAGATATGTGTTTTATTGATTTTTTACAGAGAGGAAGGGAGAGAGAGCTAGAAACATCGATGAGAGAGAGACATCGACCAGCTGCCTTCTGCACACCCCTTACTGGGGATGTGCCCACAACCAAGGCACATGCCCTTGACCGGAATCAAACCTGGGACCTTTCCGTCCGCAGGCCGACGCTCTATCCACTGAGCCAGACCGGTTTCGGCATCAGGGTCTTTTTGAGGCTCGACCTCTGTGGCAGAAATGGCGGTTGAACCCAGGTGGCCCTGAAATTGGGTCTGTTCTGGGAAATCTGACCCTCAAGCTCAGCGTCACCTCTGGACCCCACACCTCCCTTCCCATTTGGGGGACTACAAAGTCCCTTCCTCTCCTTGTGAGGAAGCCTCAGTGTGGAGAGCGGGTCTCTCATCACCTTTCCCAACTCCATCTCCAGACTATCCCACCAAAGGCAGGCAGAGGAGGCAGACTGTGGTTGCAGCAAGAGGGATCGGAGTTAGATCTCAGGAGGGACTTTTGTAGGGCACAGAGGCCCGTTTCTCCCGCAGGTTCATGTGTGATGGAGGTCAGGCCCACTTTTTAAAGTGGAGACACAGGGAAGTCTTCCCAGGGGCTGAGGGGATGGGAAAGAAGGTTCTAGGCTGTAAGAAAAGTTCAGTCAGCGTTGGTATGCGTGGAGAAGCAGTGGAGAAAGTCCGGTCCCCAGAGGACAAGCAGCCACTCACCCGGCTGCATGCTGCGTCCAGCTCCATCCAGATTCCCAAGATGTGACTGGAGAGAGGACTTTCCCCACCACAGCCCTTAATGACAAAGAAGCTTTACTGAGCAAACCGCTGCCCAGGCTTTCTCAGTCAACCTCTCTGCTGGAGGGAGCGGGGGAGGATGGGGTGCTGTAGGTTCCTACCCTCCTCTGTCCTTTTTCCCCACCTGTTCCCATCACCCCTTCCTCAGCAGCTTTCTTCCCACCCTGGCCCCCAACTTCTCTGTCTGGTCACACCGCTAAATGTCCCTGTCAGGCCCAGACTCACTCGCTGTCCCACCTGGGCAAGTGCCTTCCTGGCTCTGCGTTCCGTTTCTCCATCTGCACAACAAGAAGGGGGCAGGGCTCCAGGATCTCCTCTGATTCATCACTGTCGCCATCATCCATCAATGGAGCACGTATTGATTGAGGAGGAGGGTGCGATGGAGAGGGCTCCCATTTGCAGGGAACCAACTGTGTTCCAAGCTCTGCCCCTTCTGGGACTTAGAGCAGCCCCTTTGCACACAAAGAAGCTGAGGCTGAGAGGTACGGGGACTCACCTAAGGATAACGGCCAGTGGGTGACCCTAGATCTCTCTATGACTTGCTCTCTCGCCTGGCTGGCACCTACTTGCTGTGCATGGGGTCCTGGGATCAGTGCTGTGGGCTGAGGGGGACCGTAGATGGCCTAATCCTGTTATCTAGGGCTCCCTCCTACCAGGTCTGAGAGGGTTGAGATCTGCAAGTGGTGGGGACCAGCGGCCAGGTCCAAACCTGTCACTGACTCTCCGTGTGACCTCAGGTCCACCAAGGGCTTTCTTGGGGTGGGAAGGGGTGGCTTGCTGAAGTCAGCAGTTTTCAGACTCCATTAGCAAAGAAATCCCTTTTACAGACAGAATTATAAGGTAGCACCCCAATGTGTAAAAAGCAATCAGAGTCCCCATCCCCACACCCCTTTGGGTTCCACCCACCAGACTTCCTTTTCTGCCCTCCCCACACCCCAGAAAACCCCTGGGTTTTCTGACAGCCCTTAGGGTTGCTAGAGGTCGGCGAGGGAGACTATCGACAATGGCAGCGGGCGCCTGGGGACAGAGGTGGGAGAGCTTCGAGAGGCACCGAGAAGCACAGCCAATACTGCCTGCAGCTCACAGCGATGAGGCCCATGCTACATGCTAAGCCTCATGTCTATTCCACCATCCCAAAAACCCCATTCTGCAAGCAAGAAGACTGAGGCTCGGAGAGGAGACTTGTCTAGTACAGCTCTTTACCCTTGTGCTATACTGTGTGTGAATGGGCAGGTGCAGTGTGAGGATGGGGAGGATGTCATAGAGCACAGGGGAGAAAGAGCGAGCTTGGCAAAGGGGACACAGCAGGTCTTGAATGCTATGCTGAAGGGTCCAATTTGGCCTGATAGGAACCAAGGAGCTTGGCCAGGGCCAAGGGCATGCCACAGAGGCTGGGCTGTATAGGAGAGAGCTCACTCAGAGGGGTGGAGGTACCAGCCCCCAGGGCGGCTGGCAGTGCCAGGCGCAGAAAGAGCACTGAACTGTGAGTCACGGCTGGACTTCCTGGCTCTACTTTTGGACTAGCTGGTGAATTTGGGTAAGTCATTCCACCTCTGCCCTGCCTTCCCTGGCTGACAGGAGGACTGAAAGCAATAATGCATGGAAGCTCAGCCGGTGTGGCTCAGGGGTTGAGCATTGGCCCATGAATCTGGAGGTCATGGTTCGATTCCGGTCCGGACAAATGCCTGGGTTGCAGGCTCGATCCCCAGTAGGGGGAATGCAAGTGGCAGCCAATCGGTTATTCTCTCTCACCATTGATGTTTCTCTCCCTCCCTTTCCTTTCCTCTCTTTGAAATCAATAAAAACATACTTAAAGAGAATAATGCATGGAAAAGTCACGATCATGCTGGGAGCTGTGCAAATGGGAACCATTGATCTTTAGTGTCTGTTCGCTGGAGAGGCGAGATGCTGTGAGAATTCCCTAGTCGTCCAGCTCTTCTCGACCGAAGGAGGGGTTAGCGTGGAGGGTGGTAAGGAGTGATGGCATCACAGGCATTATTTCCCTGTAGGGTTCCACCTGCACTGAGAGCAGGAAGAGGGAGTGTGAGAGGAAGACCAGGCCTGCTTCCTTTCCCAACGAGGCCTGCGAGGACAAGAGAATTAGGCCGCCCAGCAGGTGAGAGGTGCAGTAGGGCTGGTTGGGAGTTTCTCTCCCCCTAGATCTGGACATGCCACTGAGCTCTCTCCAGCACAGACCATGCAGGCCTGCCCGGCCAGTCTGAGCCACAGGAAGTGAGGACAAAGTAGTGTCGCTGAGCTCAGCGAAAGTGGACCCCCATTGATCCTCTTGGCTGGAGGGGGGGCCCACAGGAGGAGACTCCGAGGGAGAAGGGGGTGGAGAAATGAAGGTCAAAGCCATCCCTCTTGCACGGCTCCTCCGCTGCCTTCAGGGCTCTGCCTCCTGATCCCAACTCCTGGAAGACCATGCAGAAGACAACACTGCCGCTGGCCCACGGGAAGGCTCCATGTTCTCAGCAACAGCCTTGGCACAAGGAAATGA